ATCCCATAGAAGGAAAACTATCAATTTTACTATACTTGTTAATATATGAGTTCACTTCGTCCCTAAGAGCCTGTAATCTTTCTTCATAATCATCTGTAGCATATTGATTTTGTGAATCATTGATCTTTGATAATTCTTTCATCAAATAATGTGAAAGACTTTGAACAGTATTATGTTCAAAAATTACATCATAAGGAAGGTTGATAAATAAAAATTTATTTTGTAGTATAGCACGTAACTTAGTTGCAGATAAAGAATCTAGACCTAAAGCAAAGAGTGAAGTTTCATATTCAGAAACTTTTAAAAATGAATCCCCAATGGCTAATTTAAGAGAATTTAATATGGTAGATTTCACAGAATCTTCATTCCATTGATCATCAGAGAAAGATTTCTTATTCAAAATAACTTTTCTATTTATAAAATTGTCATAAAGCATTTCTATTTCTTCTTTAAATTCTATTTCAACCTTTTTACGTTGAATATTATTTTTTACGGTTTTAGGTAATGATTTTCCTTCAAGAGATAAGATATAAATCATTTCGTCAAAAATTCGAGAATGTGATGGGCAATCTATATTAGCTTGATGAACTGAATCAAAGATACTTTTTGTAATTTCCAAGAAAGGAGCATTTTTTAAATGATCAAAATTAAGTTCAATTAAAAGACAATTAAATGGTCTATTGTGTCCAACGACAACTGCATGTTTAACATATTGATTAAGACGAATTGTTTCTTCAATAGGTAGTGGATTTGTTTTTTCACCAGTGGTATGAATAAGTATGTCATCAACTCTACCGAGTAAAAGATAATAGCCGGAACCTTTTTGAGTTTCAAGAAAAAGATCGCTTATTCTGTAATCACCATTATCAGTATTTCCTTCAATATTTGCAAGAATTGGTGAACCTTTTTTTACAACTAATTCTTTTGCTCCATCAAGAATATCATTTCTTTCTATCCATTTTATATTACTTTCGGGAATTATTAATTTTAATGCGTTCCATGGAATCCCACGTGGTAAATTTTCGGGAGTTATCATAAGAGGAGAACCTGTTTCGGACGTACCATAAGAATTTTGAATTTTGACGCCAGACTTAACAAGTTGTTCACCTACTTGAGGCAATAATGTAGCACCACCATATATTATGGATTTTAAATTTAATAATGTTTTAATTTCCCCTGGATAATTGTTATAAATTTGTTCAATAGTAGCAGGTAAAGTGTAAAGAATTTTAGCATTAGATTGTTTTAAGCTATATAAAATTTCATTAGCTAAAGGAATTGAACCCGCAACAATTGGAAATGCGCATACGGAATCAGGACTTAAAATAGATTTTAATGCAAGAATGAACCCATAAACATGAAATAATGGAGGGATTAATAAAATAATTTCATGCATATTTGCTTTTGTTGCATCTAAAAAATAACGATTAGTGAGAGGAACTAATTTAGGAAATGAGGTTGAACCAGAACTATGAAAAATAGCAATAGTTTTTTCATAAGTATTTTCATCTAACTTTAGAACAGGGGTGAAATCGTCAATTTTTTCATCTTTTAAATTTTTAGGAAGTTGAAAAATTTTGAACGATTGTAGATGTTGAGAATTGATTTTATTTTGCACAATCTCTGAAATCTTTGAAAATTGAGGATCGTAAATAAGAATACTTGATTTAACTTCTTGAAGTAAATGAATCAAAGCAGATTCGGAATTTCGAGGACTAAGGAATAAGATTTGGAAACCTAATTTCCATAAGGCCATAACGTTAAACAAATATTCAGGACCACTTTGTGCTAAATAACCAATTACGTCATTTTTGTCCAAATTTTCATTCACCAATTGCTTATTCCAATAATTAGCATATTTATTTATAATAATATCCAAGTCTTGAAAATTAATTTCATCATATTTTGTACCATTTGGGGCCAAAAGAGCATTTCCTTTTGGCCTAGTTGACACTTGATGTTGAAAAACTTCTAATAAACTTTGATAGTCGTGAGACATTTTAATTTTAATTTTTTGTTTTGTTCGCAGGTCGTAAAGAAATATATAATACTTTTTTATTCGTACTTCATTCGTGAAGCATGCAAGCACTTTGGGTTATGCATGTATAAACGCCACAGAGAACAATGAAATTATGTAATCGAATAAGAAATCTTAATAATGGTTTTTACGGCGACATAATCCTTAAATGTGTATTTGTAGTACGTACCAAAATTGGTTGATCATATAACCGCTTGTAAAATATCTTTGTTATTTGAATAGACCCAGGATTAGGCTATAGTTTAGGTTGATCTGTTAATTCCGGCCAAATGATCATTATACTAACGAAAGTGTTAATCTGACCAATAAAAATTTTAAAGTATTTACATGATGTGATAATCAATCTACATTTCGGAATGTAATAACCTGTAAATTTACGTTAACTATTGTGAGCGGTAGGATGGTAACGCCGGAAGATCGTTGAAGCAGGTGATCGGTGTGGCGCAGTAACGAATTAACGACTATGTCGATCATCTACCTAAAATGGATTTACTGGCAGTATACACTGTATTCACTATATTCGCTGTATACTCAGTGTCGGGTTAATAATGGATATCAGTGTGATAAGGCAATCAGCGGGATCAAATATATAATTAAAATAATTAGTAGAAACATTATAATCAGTGTAATAAGTATAGACATTATAATTAGTATATACGGGATAATGAATATAAGTGCTATATCACGAATAGAGTGTATAGCGTGCCTTATGTAAAAGAAAGTACATAATAAAGGCTTCGAGCCCTACGAAAAAAACATTCGTTATTCGTGATCTAAATAAAATTTGTCCCCTAATAATAATATCCTGCTTTTATTATATAATAATAACTAGGCGCTTGAGTTGCTTAAAGGGAGTTAGAAATAATTGCAATATATCAATTGACTAGTGCATTAAGTATCAG